TTTCCTTCCTTCCTTCCTTCCTTCCTTTTTTATTCACAGAGCCTGGAGAAAGTTCTTGTGGAATTCAGTCACAAGGAATTGTTTGATTTCTATAACAAGGTCTGTATTTTTAAAATCATTTCTGATATGTAGGATTTTTCACAATGTTTCCTCCATTTTATGAATTCTTATTTTTAAATGCCCTATTATGAAGCTAAGTTTTTTAAACTTCCCTTGTAAACACCTTATGTTTCACAGTAGGAAGCATTGCTGAGATGAAGAGAATCTCACACACTAAATCGGGAAGAAAATGGATATGGTTTTAATTAAAGCAATAGGATTGTTGCTTTAATGTAAAACATTAAGTAATGAACTGTGTGGTATCTAGCCACACTAGCAGTTTAAATATAGTAGTGTTAAATATTTTAAATTCTGGGCCCAGGGAAAAAGGAAGATACCAGTCCTTTAAAAATTTATCTTTGAGGGTTTCTTTTTGAATACTGATGTTTCTTTTTGAATACTGATTTTATAACCCAGGAAAATGCACTGCTCCCCCCATCTCTTCGCAGCACCCACCCTTTAAAAATCTTTAGTGATCAATTAAAATGAAACAGCTGGGCGCATTTAAAACAGTAATATTTAGACATCCTTCTTTACAAATTTGAAAACTCAGCAAACAGGAATTCTAATATCGTCACATAAAAAGAAAAATTTTCTAAATAGTATATTTATTGCTGTGTGAGTAGATTTAAAACACATAGTTGACAATACCATTCTTTTCCTTCATTTGCGTGTTTCTAAACAACACTTCACATGAATTTCTTTGTCTTCACCAACTTCTCTCTCTCTCTTTTTTTTTTTTCTTCTGTCTTTGTAAATAGCTGGAGACCATACAAGCACAGCTGGATTCCCTTACATGATGTCCTCGAAGACTGGTTTCTCCAGCACACTCCTGCCACCTCATTCTTTTGCATTGAAGATAAACCGCCAGGTTGTGTTTTCTGAAGGATTCAGTAGCTTTCTTCTTCCAAATTATACGGCTTATTGCTTCTTAGACAAATAACAACCAAAGAAAATCATTGTTCTGAGTACTGAGATTCTAATATACACTCTCTAGTTCCGTGAGCCAATAGCAAGCAATTATTAAGAACATTTTTGTCTTAAAGGAAACAAAAGTGAATATCATACTGTTTTTACTGTCCTATTTTTGCTTTATTACCTGACTTGTTTATCTTTTACATACTTGATGATACTTTTATGTATCTAGGAGGGTCCATGGATACAAAGTAAAATGTATACCTTAGAACACAGAACTTCAGTAATTACATTAATAAAAGAACGAAAGTGGCCACATGCAATTAAATACATTATGGCAGTTTTTCTTTGCTATAATGAGTATATTTTGCTTGGGAAATAATATAGGAAAGAAATTTTAAATAGAGCTAGTTCAGTCTATCATTAAGTTCAATTATGAGCATCTCTGTGCACTTGAATTTTTTTCTCTGAGTTTAATGATTTAATAACAGTTCAGGGTTTGGGGTGCTTTTCTTTGTGCTGCAGATTAATAATGATTCATTTCATAGTGTGGGAGACAGTCAAATCATGAATAAAGATAATTGTCATGAGTGCTAAATGAATAGCCTTAAAATTTTAAAACAAATACCTTTTATATTCTCTTTCTATAAATTTGTTAATTAATTTCAGTCAGTAAGATTTTTATGTCTTAGAATTAGTTGAACTGAAGTACATAGTGTTTTATGCTATGGATATTTATAAATGTGAGTATGATTGCCTGCAGAAAATAATATCAGTTGAATTTTTATAAATGAACTGTCTATACTATATTGTTTCCAGAGAGAAAGACAGAGAGGGAAGGAGGGCAGGAGAGAAGGGAGAGGGGAGGGAGGGAGAAAATGAGAGAGAACAAGAGAGTTTCAAACATGACTTTCTTCACATGAAGGAATTTGATTGCAGAAATACCCTATAGTTAAACAAACAGAACCATTGAATTTAAATCACATTCCTTATATGAGGTGTCTGAGTAATGTGATTGTTAAAGGTCTCCCAAATAAATGTTCAGTATGTGGAATTTATGCCCTTACTTTTATGTGTGCTTGTATGTTGTTACTTAGAAGGATTAGGAGTTTGGATTATTTCAGAAAGTAAATTTTACAGTTGCTCTCTGTAGTTGGTTGATTTGAAAAGTTTTAAACTCAAACTTCCATTGATAGGCTGTCTAGAAGACATGTTTATAATATGATGGGATTTGTTTCCATATGTAGCTTATGGGATCTGTCTTATATTATTATGCTCTATTCTGGTCCCCAGAAGAAACTACCTGACTACTATCAACATTTTGGTAAATATTTGTTCAGCTTCTTCTTATGCACAAATAAACGTCCATCATTCCAAGTTGAATTTTTTCGGCCATCCTGACAGTGGCCGTATGGACATATGGAGGTTGTCATCGGTTTAACGGCTGACCTAACTCCCAGTGTAGGTATCTAATTTAAATGTGACACTTCAAAATGAAATATCCTATTAATAGTTTGAAATGGTGGTAAGTAGTTTTCTCTCCATTAGTCTAGTTTTAAAAAGTCTGACCAAGGGCATTGAAGGACGGACAAGTAAGTAGACGGTCTAATGCCAACTAAGAACATAAGTATTGCTGAAATATATTTAATTACAGATAATTTTATTTCTTAAGGCCTCACCATTGTTAGGATGCACAAGTCAAAGTATCATTCCCAAAGATTATTAAATGCATTACTTTTTCATAGAAATAAGGTGGGTGGAGCGATTAAGTAGGAACAGAAGCCTACTGTCATAGCAGATAAACATATCTGTGTGAGTGCTTGTCATGAGGATTGGATAAAATATAATTACCTGTTAGAAAGGAATACTACAAATATTGGCAATTGTCCAATTATAAAGTATGATTATTTTAAATTAGGAAATGCCAAAAAATCATAAAGGAGGAACCTAAAATTATAGAGTCTCATCATCTAGAAATGACCATTAATGACATTTTGGTAGATTTTATTGAAGGTTTTTTTTTTTCTATTCATGTATCTTCCTCCTTTTTTTCTTTTCCTTTCCTAACAAATTAGAGTAATGCAATAAATAATTTCATACTTTGCTTTGCTTTTATAATATTATAAACATTTTTAATTTCCTTATTGTCTAAAACATAACTTTAATGTATACTAAGTAGTCCTTCATTTGAATGAGCTTATTTAGTTATCTAATCTATTGTTGGACATTTAGATTATTTCCCATTTCTTAACATACTAAAGAACTCACTGGTAAAATCATTATAAATAAACCCTAAACCACATTTCTCATTATTTTAATAATATAGTTTCCTAGAGGTGGGATTATTATGCCAAAAGCATGAAGATTTATTTTCTATTTTTTCATTTAACGGGATTTTATTATAAAAATAAAATTGCCTATTGTAAAAAAAAAAGTACATGAAAAAGTTTCTCTGTTTTGCTGTCTCACTCCCCAAAAGTACCTACCTAACTAGTTAGAAACATTTGGTTTATATCTTTTCAGATACCTCATGTAAATGCAAATGCACATACACTCCTCTTTGTGTATTTTTTTAAATTTACATTTGTTTTATGGCCATTTTTGCATATTGATATATTATTTTCCCAGTCAATATACTGTTGGTGAGGGTATATATCTATTTATACTCTCACAACAATAAATGAGAATTCACCTGCCCAAAGCCAGCTTTATCAACACCTTCCTCTTACTGTACATTTCCTTTTCAGCATTCTTTTTAAGTTGGAATAGGTTTTGGAAAGAGTGTGGAGTGAGAGTGGGTTGGAGATTGAAGCATCACTGATTACTTGGTTTACGTTATATTAATAATTCCAGAGGGATTGAAGAGGAAAAT